CGTGACATGTTCGTACGAACCCTTTGTACGAACAAAAGTAAGAGAAATTTAGGATAAGAATACGAACATGTTCTTGCATGAGGCCCATTATTTTTTAAAGAAACATCAGATAAAAAATACTCACATTAGACGTAATAAAATATTTTTTTCAAAGAGACAAACTTAAAAGGTTTTCAGGGTGCAGCTTGATGATTTTTAGGGTACAGTGAAGCCCCGATTTTTTTGCGGGGGTAATTTTCTTAGCATACCAGCGAATCATGGAAAAAAATGCAAATATTACATGTGGTTCATGGGGTACAAGTGGGCCTATAGTGATTTGGGGTGGCAGAAAGAATCAAACAAAAAACATGAGAGCTAAACATTTAGTTTAGCAGCCACATGCCACGCGTCACTGTTAGATAGCTGTGCTCCAGGTATAGTGTGGACACAGGGCATATGATGCATACTGCATACATGTCAAGTTGTACGGATTGTCCGTAATTTACACAGATTTTTTGCCATTTTGCAGTTATATGGACGTATTGAGCAATCTCTCAGATTTTTTCATGTTTTACAGATTATTTCAAAAACTCAGTTTCAAATTTATTTAACATTTCAAAGCCTGTACGATATAAAAAAAAAACTATAAATAACATTAAATATCCACTTTCAACCTGCTCTGCTGCTAAAAATAAATGATCCCATCCTCATTTCCTTCTGATTTTGCTGCAGCTGACAGGCCTGCACCCCACCCCGTGTGTGATTAATACAGATTTTTTTGTGAAAATTACGGATTTTTGAGTTTGATTATACAGGTAAATGTCCAAAGGGGTTGACATGTAGGATACTGTACTGTACTGTACTATTTTTTAAAGGAACTGAATTTACATTAAAATGTATGTTACAGAATTAGTAAATTATGTTGTTCTTCATAATTTAGCTTGAAAACTAAAAAAAAAATTAAAAGCATGAGAAAAATAAATAAAATGGCATTGCTTACGGTTCTGGATTTTTGGTTTCTAACATATTACAGGATTATGCAAACTACTAGTAGTTAGGTTAGGTTCCATAAAAAAATAAATACTGCTCAAGACTGAATCTGCATACTGTTAAATGCAACTTTGCAGGGCTTCACTTTATTGATGACGTGTTGATAATGGTGGTGAGGTTTGCATGTTCCAATCAACAAATCCATTGATGGATGAGAACTATATTGTGTAAATGCAAAGTCAAGGTGATACAGAGATATAGAGCAATATAAACCAATCTTATTTTTATTATTACGTTTTCTCAATTCTTTTGTTTCAGTGTATTTTTTCCAGTCTTGCTATGCAGTCAGCAAAAACCATTGGTACTGATTTTCTTAGAAGCATAATTTTTGGTCATTTTGTGATATAACCTCAAGACAACTATACACAGTCTTATGGTCTTAGAATTAGATCATAAACCACTAGAAACCTATTAAGTTGTATCATAAATATTACTTTGAACTCTGCTGTTTTCACTCCATCCAGTTGTTGGCTAATTTGCAGAAAGTTATGAATCTTGTTGCTATTCCTATTACCCATGTATTCTTTAAACTTTTCATCTATGTGTACTATCTTAGCTGGTGTTACAGTGCTTTTTGTACTTATGCTTTAAAATGTGCAATGTAGTTTGGTGTACTATGTTAGTTTATCTAGCTCTATAAGAAAAACACTTAGTGGGAGGACAAAGACGGGAAGGGACAAGTCAATAAAAAGGACTGAGCTGATACATTTCTACAGTCCAGATCACTGAATTAAACTTGGAAATAAATGATAAAACGGTAAGTTTGTGCTGTTTTATCGCTGAAAACAGTGCGCAAGACAACAAATATTACTCATCATTGTGACCTTCATGGAACTAGATTTCTTTTTTAATCTTTTTGTCTAAGAACAAATATCCTGTTGCCTGGAGTATCTGGCTGTTATCGTTCTTGCAGCCTTCTGTTTAGAGGTCAGAAGTTTTCAGTGCAACATGTGACAGTTGTTCATACAAAAGATCCTTTTAACAGAAGGATTAATTCCCCTCTGAGCACATGGGACCCATTACTGGTGCACTCTTGATCAAGGCAGAGATACTGTATGATGATTTTGTTGATATCAAAAACTATTTTCACAACCATTGTGACACCCTGTGCTAACATAATACTTTCTTTTACTGACGCTGCTGACCAGCAGTTGTCTGCCACTGGCCTCTGCAGCTTCACACCTGCTAGCTCCAGTTGCCTGCTGACAGAAAGGGAAGTACAATGGCACAACTGGAAAGGGCGGTCAACGGGACGAGACTAAAACACTAAACAGATTTATTTTTCTGACATGGACTCATCAAATCATTGTTTTCCTCTTTGCTGATAATATGAGAGAAAATGTTACATTTACTTTTGTGTGTGGTGTCATGTAGCTTTGTGAGAAATGACATTTGTTTTACTGTATTTTATATGGTCATGGTTAAGCTTGGTTCTAAAGTCATTTGTATGGTATGAAGGTAGATATTAGAGCAGACGCAGCCTTGTTAGAGATAAAAGAGAAGAGCTTAGAGCAGCGTTGACAATGTACAAAGCTTATACTAAACTAGTACATGTCAAGTTGCACAGAATGGGCCTCATGCAAGAATATGTTCGTATTCTTATCCTAAATTTCCCTTACTTTTGTTCGTACGAAGGGTTCGTACGAACATGTCACGTC